GAATGCTTTTCAAATTATTAAAACATGAGTGATAGTCTGAAAAGAACCTTGTAAATAATTATTTTCAAGAAGCGTGTGGGTGTTTAAAATGCGCTTTTATATTCACTTGGGAATTTTAACTTTGTTGGACAACAGACTATTAACCTTGACAACTGAAATTTCTATTCATTCAAATTCACTTTCTGTGTATGGATGGTTAACACATTTTGTGCTGTCTAACTAACATATGCAACTATAATGCTTAGCGGTAATATGAATAATACGTAGGTAAGTTGAAAAATAAGTTTCCCCTGTCGACTGTGGTCAGAGTTGTGTATGAAAGTCAAAAAATAGAATGAGACATTAAAGATATGACCTATTTTCCCACATAGGTACCAAGTACATTGAGACATTTGTCATATCGCTTGATAAGCTTCAAAAAGCCTTCCAGGAAAAAATCGGGGCTTTGCATATGGAAGAAGCGTTGAATGGCTTGTTTCACTTCAGTATTGCTTCCAAAGCTCCTTCCCCTGAGATTTTTCTTCAAAGCCGGAAGTCGCTTGGTGCGAGATCAAGACTGTATGGCGGATGGTGTAGGCGCTCCCAACCAAGAGTTGCAATATGGTTTTGCGTTGCTGTCGCCGAATGTGGTCTGGCATTGTCATCCAACAGCAGAACGCCAGATGTGAGAAGACCAGGCTTCTTTCAATTTCGACAGGGTGTCACAGTAGCACGTAGCATTGATGGTTCCAACCTCCAAAATGTCCAACAACAAAACTCCTTGGGTGTCCCAGAAAACTGTGAGGAGCACTTTACCTGCAGAGGGAGTTGTCTTGAACTTCTTTCGGACAGGTGATGACGGATGTTTCCACTCCATAGATGCGGCCTTCGATTCTGGCGTGAAATGATGGACTCACGTTTCTACCCCCGTCACAATCCGAAACAGAAAGTCATTGCCATCTTCATGATAACGCACGAGATGTTCCAGGCTGACCCCCATGCATTGTTCCTTGTGTGTCGAGGTCAATTGTTGGGGCACCCATTGTGCTGACACTTTTCTGTATCAAAGAATGTCGTGGATGATGTTTTGAGCTCGCTTATGTGAGATTCCAAGTTCTTCTGCTACTTCATCGATGGTGATACGCCGGTTTGCTCTAATCATGTCATCCACCTTCCTGACATTTGCATCTGTAGTGGCCGTGCGCGTCTGTCCAGCTCTCGGTATGTCCTCCACTTGCTGACGTCTATCACTGAATGTGCGACTCCATCTCCTTGCTTCGACATCACACCTGGCCCATAGACTTCCACGAGGCGGTTATGAATTTCTGTTCCTGATACTCCACGTGCCCATTCATAGCGGATAACTGCTCTCACTTCCTCCTTTGACCACGAATTCAAAACGCACCTTCTCTCCATACCTACCGGGGCTCAAATGAGAGGCTGGTCTCCGCTTTGCGCAGACACTGCAACAGCGCCATCTGCTTGATTTGCAGCGACCTCTACCCAATTGTGTATCGGTGACTTGCGCTTTTTCCTGCTGTGTCGCCTTTCGCCCATTTCAACGCTTCTTCCATATGCAAATCCCTGATTTTTTCCTGGAGGGCTTTTTGAAGCTTATCAAGCGATATGACAAATGTCTCAATGTACTTGGTACCTATGTGGAAAAATAAAGGTATGTCATATCTTTAATGTCTCGTTCTATTTTTTGACTTTCATATACAACTCTAACCACAGTCGACAGGGAAAACTTATTTTTCAACTTACCCTCATAGTAATATACGATGTAATATGAAGCTTGATAAATGCAGTGTTATCAACTAATGTGTTGAGGGATATGTAGATGTCTCGGCACATAAGAGATATTGATACAAGTTGATTACAAATAATTTGACTAAGTTAAAAATCTAATTAAATGTATACTAATAGAGACCCACTTTTAAACAGCAATCCGCGAAACGGGTACGAATACCCGCTCATAATGTGTTAATATGTAGTTAATGAAAAAATGTAACATTTTATGCTAAAAAAGTTTCATTTAAAAACTAATGAATATATAGTAGATTCATCATGTTCAGCTTTTAGTGCATATACTGTTAATTTTAAATGGACCGTAAGTCTTCTGAATTGCTTCAGATTATTTCATTTTCTCCCATATCAGCCATGCAACAGTCGTAAAGCAAGTGATTCTGGGAGTAAAAATTGCTCATAAAATTCTTATGCTGTATTTATTTCAAAACATATGAAATGGTTTAAAGAATACATTGCATAAGTTTTTGTAACAATTTCGTGGCTCTGATACATATTCAAAATTTAATCGTAAAAATATTTAGCACATCAGAATCATTTTAGACATCTTATGTATTTTCATTGAAATTGTTTCTAAAACATTTATATTTTTAAAATGCATTATTATAATTAAGACATAATAACACGCCGAATAAATACTAATTCAGAAGACAAACAACAAAAATCAGCATTATTTAGCATCATTTTGTAAATATAATGCTGATTGTTGTTTGACTTCTGAATTAGTATGCATAATTATGTTAATAAGTAGCTCTAATTTAGGTGACTAGCAAGACGTAGGAATTAAAATGCTTTAACTTTTATTTAATGATCCACATATTAAGCATTACAAAATATTTATAATGCTTTCCAGATTGAAAAAAGGAATATTAATTATTAACACGTTTCTGGGGTGAAAATATGTTTTAATGGATTTTCTGTACCTGAAGAGAACATTCTTCAGCAACCTCTGTTTCTTTGCTTTTACGTATTATCTAAGGTAAAATTTTAATAAGATGCTTTTGCTATATATTCAGTGATATTTTCTTGAAAAATAATGTTAATAATCATTAAGCTTTCTAAATGAGTCACCTCACAAAGCTAAATGCATGACAGATCTGTTTGAAAGCATCTCTTTAAATCCACTTTACACGTTTCATATCCGTTTTGTACATACCGTATATTCCAGTGTATAATGTGCACGTTTAATACAAAACGTAAGATCAAAATTAACGAGTGTTATACATGGGCTATAAAAAGGATATATTTAAAAAATAAGGAAAAGATGAGCATAAAAAATTATATTTCTACACCTACCTAAATGTTGTAAAAAATTCCTAATTGTATTCAATTATATCTTCAGGCACATCATTGAATACTGCTTTATCTTTACCATCACTGTTACTCTGATCCATGAATAAATAATCATCTTTTGTTTCATCTAGATTAAGTATACTGCATTTTTAATAACTTTTGAATTATGTCATGTTTTATTTCATTCCATGCTTTTATTGTTCGCTCACATATTATTAGCCTGGCATGAAGCATTTGGCCTTTGATGTTCACTTCAAAAGACTACAGAGATAGAAATCATCTAATTAGTTATTTTGCGAATTAATTCGGATTGGAAGTGCATTCTTACCTCAAATAATGTTTACTTTTTTTCAAAACCCTAGAAACACATTCTTGTGCACATGTGCTAACACATACTATTTGCAGAGGTATTTTCTCGCTGAAGCATATACCCCGCATGCATAATCTTCCTCTTATGGCTTTATCAGTTCAGTATACCACTGTTCGAAAGCCTGAGAAAAATCTTTGGATGAATGACTTCAGAAGATAAGAGCATCGCACATGTATCTCATCGTGAAGAAAAGTGTGCATATTATATGCTGAATAAATATAAAACTAAAAATATGTTGTTTGAAATTATGTGGAAATTACATTGAAATATACGATATTTATTTTTAACTCTGCATGCATTCTTGTATATTTAATGCTGTATATCATATTTATTATAATTTACATCCCCATCGTTTTTAAGGCTTTGTTAGAATGATTGTGGTTTTTAATATAATGTTTAAAATTATTATAACTGTCTAAAATATGCTTTGTTATATTCATATACATAATTTCTACATGATTGATAGCATTATCTTAATTTTTATTACTTTATATTTTAAAGGCACTTCTCACTTTTGCCTGATTACTTTTAATTTTTTTAAAAGAATCGGCAGAAAAGTTCTGCATGCTGTAAGAAAATTGCATAATGGTTTTTCCAAGTTTGCACGGTAATCTTAGCAAAGATGCTTAAGCATGAAGAGCAGCTAAGAATTGAAAACACATTAACTAAAAATGTGCTCGTTCTACTGTTTGCTAAAGATTGGTCATATATACCCTTCTGAGCAATTCGGTCTTTTTAATTCCTCATATTAACAGCTGGGTATTAATGGCATTATTTTTATAATTTACTTTACTCTTTGGTAAAATGTTTTATACCAAATAGTAGCAAACCTGGTGACTCTCATCATCAGTTGGATCAAAAATAAAATTGATTACATTTTATGAAACAAATTCAGTTCCAATTTCTCCTCAGTGTTATAAATTTTGACTAAAAGGTTTTACTCTGAAATACGTTTTTAGTAACCATATTTGCTAATGTATAATAATATAATTTTTTTCTCCATGGAAAAACTGTCTATTATGATAAACTGAAAATTAAGACATGTTGTAAAGTTACTTATTTTATGTAAGATAGTGTCAAGGAGGGGAGTGCATAATTAGAAATTCAACTTTTATATCCCAGTCTATTTGAAACAACTTTCAATATTATTAGCTGGTCAGAATACCTTTGGTATTTAAGTCAATTTAATTTTATGAAGGGATCTTCTTTAATTATAATTATATGAATTTAAAAATTATGTATTTCTTTCACAGTCAGATTCCTTAAAATGAAAATTTAATCTTTTCAAATCTTATATTAGTCTGAAGTGTTCATTCCAGTTTTGTGACTATTTCTAGGTGTAATTTTATGTCTCATGGGACCACTTACCTTAACCCTTTCCCTCTAATTTTATAAAGACCTGTTTTCTTTGCATATAATCAAAAATTTCCCATTTTTATAAGATTGCATCAATTGATACAATTTTTTGCATATATGGATGACATTCTTATTTTAACTGCACTGTAGTGTGGTTTTTGTTATAACAATGTTAAAATTTCTTTACTTTCAAAAGGTATTTAAATGGAGCGTGACACAAATCAAATGTCCCAAAGTCCCTCTCTGTGCAGATCAGGCTGCGGTTTCTACGGGAGCCCCAAAACTGATGGATTGTGTTCAAAATGTTACAAAGATGCTCTGAAAAGAAAGCAGGCAAATCCAGCACCTCCACCACTGAGTGGGCGCACCAGCCCGACTCCTACATCCACAGTTGCTGGTAAGTTGAAAGATTTTGCTTCGGTATTTTAGAAGTCATGGTTCATTCTACATATTGTATGTATGTTCTAGATATTGGTAGTTCCAAAAATGTATCACATTTATTTTCTTAATTTTTAGTAAAAAATTGAGCAGTGTAAAACATTCTGTATGCAAAGCCTTTATGTCAATTTTGCTGAATCCGTTTCTTTTATATTGATTGTAGGAAGAAATTAAGTGAATTATTTTGTTTTTCCTTTACGAGTAGATATATTTTATGCAGTATTACATTCATTAAAATTTTAATTGTGAAAGTTTGATATAAAATTGAGCAATAGTAATAGCATTTTTTCTAATTTAATTTAAATTGTATGGCTTTGAAATGGCATTTTCCCTTGCTCCCTCTTCCCTTTAAAGTAAATCATTGTAATTAGGTCTGCAAATAAGTCTCAAAACAAATTCAACCGAATATCAAGCAGTTTGCTGCAGCAAAACATGCATTATCATGTTTTTCTTAATAAGCAACCAGGTCCCTAGTATAGAATTAGCTAGGTCCCTTAACCCTTACTTAACTTAAAATTTTGACAAAACTTTTTTAAAAATTCATCAATTTCTATTAATGTTTATGAAATTTGAAATAAATTTGTGTAAACACTATATTTTCCCTTAAATTTAATAGTTTTTAAAAATATGTAAAAATATTTATTAACTTACCTTATTTTACATTATTACAGTACAAAGTCCGAGATCCAGATGTCCAATATCCGGAATGATCTAAAATCTGGGTCTTAAAGCCACCAATAAAAAAATTTTTAGAATTTTTTTATACTTTACACATGCGCTTTTGGTTTTCTTTTCCTAAGAAAACATGTGGAGAATGCATATTCTTAAATTTCACTTTGGCACTAAATGAAATACCTTGTTAATGAAGAAACAATCATTTTAGCATCATCATTATTATTATCATATTTATTTTTCAGTGCTAAAGGTAAATCCTCTGTGTTTTGTCAAAAGAGGTTATCACATATGGCTACAGTCCCTGCTATACGGGACTTTTCTGAGAAACGAGAATCTGGTAGCAATGGTTTAAATGGGAGGACTCCTAGAAAAAAGAGCCCCGATGGAAGTGAAGTCCCACCTAGCTACGGAAGCAATGTTTGGCTATGCAGGATTTTTTTCAAACCTCACCAAAGATGTCTCGGGTCCTGGGTAGAGACAACAAATCAGACGAAAGTTCTGCTTCTGAAGGATCGCATGATCCCAGTTTGAGCGATAATCAATTACTGTTTGCCGTTCAGTTTTTTGTAGTAAGTTAGAATGGTAGCCTAGCTACGTGTGTTTCTTGAAATTGCGCGGGTTCTGAGAATTGTCCCTTTCGACGTCAAATCCTGCGTAGCCAAAACATAATGTGATTGTGACCTAACAGTTTCAATCCTATCTGCTTGATAAGTCAAAAGGATATAACATAATTCTGGTGAAGTGTAATAATTATCCAAGGTGATGCAATAGCCTTGTTTCAATAATGGCATTATCAGAATCATAACTTGTAAAGGTACCAAGAGAGATCAGTATTTAGAATGAAACAACATACAGTCAAAAGTCGTTAATTCGGACACCCAAAATCCGGAATGATCTATGATCCGGACCTCAAAGCTAAAAACTTTCTGCGCATGCGCCGCGTTGGCACATGCGCACTGGCGTTTTACGCGTGCGCGTAAGACCTTGACTACTGCACATATGCGTGTGCGCAAGTGCAGAATACGTTTTCGCCTGCACGTTTAATGTATAACGGACGGTGTAAGCTAAAATTATCTAATTATCTATTTCAGTTAATGTTAATGATTGAGTTGTTCCTTAATCTTCGAATTGGATCGCGCTTATTATTTTTTGCAGACTGTAAGAGCAATTTTATAAAAGTAAACTTGAACTTCCGATTATGTCAAGTAGAATTTCCGATGCTGGAACTTCCAAAGGATCTACAAAACGAAAGTATGTTTCGATGTCCAACAAACAAAAAGTGGAATTGCTGCAAAAAATGGATAAAGACATGAAGAATGTGACAGAGAGGTTAGTGAAAACGAAAAAATTTTGATTGACAAGTTAGTCGGTATTCTCGGCACAGCAATTAACGGGACTTAAACAGCGGAACTTTGTAACTGAACAAGAAATTATGTCTGTTTATAGAATTAAAGAGAAAGTATTAACACATAAAACGAAGCAACTTAAACAACTTACATTGAAAGAAATGTTTAATAAAGTAAATAAATATTAAGCTGCTCTTTTTTTTTTTTTTTTTTTTTTTTTTTGTAAATTTTGATACCTTTTAGATCATAATTGTTCTTTATTTCATAAATTACGGTTTCATATTTTTAATTTTAGAATTTCTGCATGCCATCTTATGAAATTTAAACTGATGATCTATAATCCGGAATCGCCGAAGTCCCGACAAGTCCGGATTAACAACTTTTGACTGTACCTATCTCGGTATACATAATAAATGACCGTATATAACCAGAACTAGATTCGCTTAGCATCTATGTTTTGATACCAAATTCTGCTTTTTTCAAGGGCACGTATTAGTGCCAGGGTAAACGTCCTTTTTACAACAAAAGCATTTCATCTTGGTAATATCTCTTTCTGGAGTAATTGGGGTTTTATATATATACTTTATTCAGGTGCTCATACGATTGCGTTAGATGATTTTCTGGATCGTAAGAATAATTCTTTACAAAATGCAAATATTTTTTTATTTCACAGTATCGATTATATGACATAATCTTATGGGGAAAAGGAGTTTCTACTAGTGTTTCCTTAGTCCAATACATGCTGTCTTCAGGTTTTTTTACAATACCTTGTAAAACTGAAAGTGCAAGGTACAAATGTATTTCATGTGCCAGTACAAGTTTCCATTCTCTTCTACCTTTCAGTTTCCTCTTACCAACATTACTTGATTCCTCAGTATAACTATTAGTCTTTTACAATTATAATCACTATTTTATCATTTATAAAATGCACAAAATATTGTAAAATGCCTGCATTGGCTTGAAATGAAACATTAACTGTAGGCAATAATTTGAACTGAAAACATGGAGGACAAGTATCAGGGACATCTGACATATTTTGGTAGCAATTGACGCCCTAGTAAAGGTTGTGCGGGTTCGTCACTATTGTTACCATCTTCAGAATTCGATACTTCAGAATCATTTCATTCTTCAAAACTTAAATCCTCTTGTTCACTACTCATTTTACAAACATTTAACATGAAAAAGTGATGAGCACTGAAACTGCATCCTTTCGAAATATGTTTCAACAGATAAAATAATGTAAATCTACCCATACTACTGTTACAGTCAACTTACAAGAACTGTGTAAATAGACTTGATACAATGCGACAAAATTTATTCGTGTTGGTTGCCCATATGAAAGACAGGCGCAACAAATAAGGGGTTAAAGAAATATGTAGGATTAACTATAAGGTGAGAATAGTCCTCTTCTTTTAACCCTCCAGCGGTTGCAAGATTAAGCAATTCTTTCTTCCCAAATATGTGCAATATCTGTCAGTCGTGAATTTGTAATACAAGCTTTTTCATTTGTGACCACTGCTGTGCATAACTTGAATGCAAACTTAACTCATTCATGACCGTAAAAGAGCTGAAAAGACATATCCATGCCAAGGGTTGTTATGGGAAGATTTCACTTTTGACATTCAACAATATTAATTCTATCTGGAAATCTCGAAACATCTGTTGGTTTCTTGACCTTTAAGATCCCCACTTACCTTAACACATTTATCCTGGTTAATTTTAGACTTCTTGATTTCTAATTTACCCTTCAGCAATAAAGCCAGGACCAGGTTTGGGAGGGAAGTATAAAAGAAACTTCTTGTAGTAACTTATCTACACTAGTAACCATGTTTCACAAATTTCTGCTTCGCAGGGAAAATTTTAAATGTCTACAAATAAATGATAGCTAAAATTTGAGGTATTTAATGTAGGAAACCATGATCCTATACTAACCAGTTTAAGCTTATTATGTATACACTATGGAAAAAAAAAGATGGGACAGTTCTATATTTCCGTTCTAGTGGGCCAATTGCACGAAATTCAGATTTAGATTTATATATAACGTTGTTTGAATATAGGTATTTTAACACAAAATCTGACATGACATGCCAGTTTTTTCCATATTTCGATTATAAGTCTCAGATTATGCTTAGATATTAAATTTTGTAAAATTTGATGTGCTAATTTTACGTAGAAATTCAATAATTTATCTTGGCTTATTTTTTTCAGTTTGTGCCAAGAATCTTGGCGAACTTCTTAATTTATAGCAACCTATTTTCCTTTTTTTCTTTGTATACAAGCAGGGGAAAAAAGTCATCATTGTATGTAAATTCACATATAATCCAAGAATAATTCACTTGGCAAACTTCTTAATATATGGCAGTCTATATTATCTAGGAAATTTTGAATAAAAAACTAATTTTTTGTAGATATGCTCAGAAATACATCTGCATTAAGATAAAGGTAAAATTGTATAGGTTATAATTCAAAATTTATAAAAATTGGGTGAATTTTATTTGGAATGAACCTGAATTTCAAAATCTGAAAAGAAGACTAAAAAAAAAAGTTGAACATACCAAATTCAATTAACATGAAGGAGCAAAAATGTTGAGAGCTAATTTTTTAAAAATTAATTTTTACAAAACTTGGCACCCTGGCATAGTTTGAGTCGTAGAATCAAAATATGGAAAAAAATTGGCATGTCATTTCAGAAAAAGTCCGATTTTTGTGTCAAAATACCTATTTAGAATGATACTATATATAAATCTAATACATATCCTAAGTCTTACTTTTGAGACATGAAAAATACAAGTTGAATTTCATCAATCAGCCCAGCAGGAATGGGAGATGTAGAACTGTCTCCGTCCCTCCCCCTTTTTTTTGCGCAGTGTAAATGCAAATAAATCCATAAGCAAGTGTTTTAGGACATTTGTTCTCCATAAAGAAGTTTGGAACCTGAGTTAATTACTAGTCCATTAGAATTTATCGGTAGTAAAATTTTGGAGGGATTAGAAAGCAAAAATTCTGATGATCGTGTAAGATCCTAAAGAAATCGAGCTAAAATAAAATGTCTAAAATTTCCCATGGCTGAAGTTGTAACACTAAAAAATATGTTTAGAAAGGTAAAAATTAATGGCTTGAATGACATTGAATCATGGGAAATGTGCTAATTTATAACCACATTATTAAAAAGGAATAAGTGATTATGCAAATAAATAGTCCATTGGTAGGCTAGCTAAATAATGTTATTTTTTACTTTTTAAAACTTGCAATTTTTCATATTCTTCTGCCATAAAATTCAGCTTTCAAGATCTCTGTTACTTAATAGAATGCAATTTTTTTATATTCAGTATTATTGGAACAAAATGGCATAATACAGTCAAAAGTCGTTAATCCGGACTCGTCGGGACTTCTGCGATTCCGGATTATCGATTTTTCCGGATTATAGATCATTAGTTTAAATCTGGTAAGATGGCATGCAGAAATTACAAAATTAAAAATATGAAACCGTAATTTATGAAATAAAGAACAATTATGATCTAAAGGGTATCAAAATTTACAAAAAGAAAAAGCTTAATATTTATTTGTTTACTTTATTAAACATTTCCTTCAATGTAAGTTGCTTCGTTTCATGTGATAATACTTTCTCTTTAATTCTATTAAACAGACATAATTTCTTGTTTAGTTACAAAGTTCTGCTGTTCAAGTCCTATAATTGCTGTATTGAGAATACCCACGAAATGTTTTCATTTTCAATAACCTCTGGGTCACTTTCTTCACTGTCGGAAGCGAATTATAATGACAAGGAACTTGATTTAAATCATATCAAAGACGGAGTACATCGAGATGAAATACTACATTTAGTAAGAAATTATAAGCCAAATAAAATAAAAACATCTGCCCTGAAGATAAGGATAGTGCTGGCAGATCAACTTCCAATCCCTGGCGTGAAATTGATAAACAGATTTCGGATTTCAAAACATACTTTCGCTTTGTAGATACAAATTACATATTAATAAATATATATCGAAAATTCTATTTGACATAATCGAAAGTTCAAGCTTACTTTTATGAAATTGCTCTAACAGTCTGCAAAAAATAATAAGCCGGATCCAATTCGAAGATTAAGGAACAATGCAAACTGCAACATTAACTGAATTAGATAATTTTAGCTTAGCTTATACCTCCGTTACACATTAAATGCGCGTGCGCACAAACATATTCGCAGCCGTAAAGGTCTTACGTGCACTCGTAACGTGAAAGCGACGCATGCGCAGAAAGTTTGTAGCTTTGAGGTCCAGATTATGGGTGTCCGAATTAACAACTTTTGACTGTGCTATTTAAAAAAAAAAAAAAAAAAAAAGAATTTTGAAAGTGAAAATCCGTGTGTACCCAAGACGTTTACGACATGGATCGTGGCTGGCTACATAAATACTTTTTGTCAGCCTGGTGCATTTTGTCATCAGTACTTCAGTAACTTTTTGGTAGGGATGCAGATATTCAAAAAGTATCTATAAACGTGTGACATATTTAAGGAACTTCTTTCCCAAATTTTTCTTTTTTGTGGAGTCTGTGCTATAGCATCTTTGATATAAATATCTGTTAATGTATATTGTTTAATACCATCATTTTATTTTAATTACAAAATTATTTTCTTTCAAAATTGCAGCTTCCGTTTGTGACGACAAAGCTCCTTCCCCAAAAGATGACAATTTGTCCACAGCATCTCCAACAGTGCCAGCTCTCGTAGTTACTCCACCTAGTCAAGATCAGAGCAAACCTGAGGTAATCAAAACTTGCATTTTTTGTTGTAAATGGATTTTTTGAATATGTGTTTCCTTCAGGAAAACAAATACATATATATTCATACAGTGCATTATCTCAGTCCATTATTTTTCTCCTATAAACTAGCACTTGCTGATGCATTGTCAGTAGTACCACCCATAACTGTGCTTTCGTACAGCCCTTAGGAATTGCAGCCCTTAGGAAAGGAAGCTTTTACTAATCTGTATTCTTAAAATACCAAAACCCTAGTTTCCGTCCATAACCCATACTGTTTATTTCCTCCCTTCCATATCCATTTATGCACGAAGAGTTGTGAAGATTCCAAATGATGTTCTTTCTACTTCCTAGCAAAGAAGCTTCCATTTGCTTTTTATAACAAGCAGTCTGCACTAACTGATACAATGTATTTGTGGAAACTGCACCTGCTACTACATACCTTAAGGGGAGAGAAGAAAACATCACAGTCCCGGACATTTTGGTCTTCAAAGGGGTTAAAGATTGTTTCAGTCTGAAGGAGCACATGACTCATGCTTTGCTTAAGGAGTTTGCTGATCTTTCTAATAGTATATAAAATGTGTGTTGCTTCATTTCTTAGTTTTAAAATTAAAAAGCTACTAGCAACTTGTATAGTCAGCAACCTAAAGTCCAGCTAGTCTGGTTTCATAAAAGTATTTAATGTTTCTAATTGGACATCCCGTGATTTAAGTGCTCTTTTATTTAAATGAATTGCATTAAAAGGTAGAAAAAAATATTCTTAAGAATTGTTTATTTTAAATTTTGTTAATCCAAAATATTAAATTTGAAAGCTAAGTATTGTATGCTTTACTGAATGGTAACATGCTAGCACAGGGAAGATATAAATACTTTATTTCAAGCAGTAGCAACACATTGCTTTTAAGTAGCTGAGATTTTTACTTCCTTGTACGAAGTATTGTAATTTCGAAAAATTCCAGGTATGTTTCAAGGAAAATATCCGTTTTAAGCGCTCTTTGAAACTGGTTGAACAATGTTTTTGCATGGCAACTGTACGTTTGGACAGAATAATAGACTGTTTTTTCTAAAAAGCATTCTATTATGGATTTAAAATGGATTCAGAAGAGATTTTTTTTTCCCTTGATGTCTGTGCTTACCTACATATGTATGTATCTTGCATAACTCAAGAATGAGTAGCTGTGGAACGTTGAAATTTTGTGTATGGAACTGCTGTAACATGTAATTGTGCATCTCCCTTTTTCATTGCAATCGGCTGCAACAGTCGTGTGTATATATATATTATATTCCCACTCTGTTACCTGGCTCAGTGTGCTTAGTTTTTTTATTCTTATATGTTTGTAAATTGTGCATTTTTTGCTTTAAAAGAGATTGAATTATGTGGTTTTTATGCTCTGGGTTAAGGCTTTTATGCCTTTAGTTAATCTGCATGCAATAGTTATAGAATTATTTTCAATTTAAAAGTTTAAGTGGCAAGTTAAACGAACCTCTATTTAACATTTGAAACTCTGTAGAATGGTGAATTAAGTCAGTATTGCACCTTAAATGCCTTTTTGCCAAATGTACACTTTCTGTTTTGTACACTGAAAGGTCTTCCTTCCTGCCTGCTGGCCGAATTGCTTGTTTTTTGTATAAAAACTAAATTTAATTAAAAAAAAATTTTTTTAAATTGTTTTAACTATGTTTTGATGTTTTATGTTTTTCTGTATTTTACGATTTTTGATGAAGATATTTTGAGTTTTTGTGTACTTTTGCTTTGCCTTGAAGTGAAAACTGAATTAATTGATCGAGACATATCTAATGAGATGAGTTTAAATGAAATGTTTAAATTTTTTATTAAAGTACCTTATATTTTGCCCGAGTGGTAATAGTCTGGTACACCGGAAATAAAGATGTATTATTTCAAGAAGTGTTACCATTGTTGACTTTCAAATCACTAACATAATAAATCAAGAGTTCATAAAATTTGCACAAAATATGAAATAAATAAAAAGTAAATTCAGGCTTTGAGGTGCACAGGTCTGGGTAAAAGACTGCGTGTTTTCAAAATTTGGTGGCTCTATCTCCAGATTATTCGTTATTTATTAATAATTAATATTTTAATGAAAATGAATTTTTTTAATTTTACATTTTACTCATATAATTTCTTATTGAATTGATAAACAGTTAACTATTACTTTAGCCATATCTCTATAAGTAAGGTTATTAGGAAAATCACTATGAATTCCCTTATGCCCTTCCCTAGTATTTTCCGGGAGAGCAAGATAGCGATCACAAAATGGTGCAAGTTTATATTCTAATTGAAACCATTAAAACAGAACATACAAAAAGTGAAATTTCCCTTTTTTTACTCAACTTTGAATGAAAAAGTATAAGGTTATTTCTTTAAAGTACTTTATAAAAAGTTTTTCAGTAATGATATTTTGTAAGATAGAAATAATTAAAAAGGAGAAGAAACCTCTGTAACAGATTTTCTTCTGAACATATGATTTTGTAAATTGGGCCCTAGTACTAAAATTTTCTAAAAATGTGTTAATTCTTTTGGGCGGGGGGTCTTAATTCAGTATCAGTGTTAGACCAAATTGTTTAAATGTATAACTGAATTACATCTTTTTGAGGTTGGGGGACCTTTATACAAAGTTCTTAGATAGTCTTTGTTCCTGTTTAGTTAATTTTTATTGCATTATAATGTATTCACTAGAAAATTAAATTCTAGTGATATTTCCAGGCATGTGGCCTTTTGCCGAAAAATTTCAAATGTTCCAATTTTATGCATTGAACTGTACATAATAGAAGATGTATGATGGAAATGTACTGTTGGAATAAAAGCTAAGAATTAGTTTGAAGGAAGACACGTTTTTATTCATTATTCGTATAGAGGCAGAGAATAGTTGTAAAGAATCGGCAAGAAATACACTACTTGCACTAGCAAGAAATATATACAAAGGCCAAGTAATAGATTGGCTTTGGTTTGCTTGTAGATGTTTGGTATTTCTATTTCTTAAAATATTTAGGTAAGATTTTAAAAGGTTAATTCTAGAATCATGGGAGGAGAAAGGCCAGATGATAGTAGAGAGAAACGCGCTATGTTAGGCAATCTATGGCTGCAAGTATTGTGGGGTCACGCACTACTTTAAGTTGGAAAATACTTGCACAGAGTTGCCAACTCTCCCAATTTAGCCAGGAGACTCCCGATTTTCGACTGCTCTCCCACCAACCCGATTTACAATATATTTCTCCCGACTTTTCTTATTAAAATTTCTCACAATTTTTATGGAACTTAGCCTAATACTTCGTTATATGCAGGGATAAATAGAAGGGCTATGTCATTCCTTTGTTCGGCTCCTCTCCGACTCGAGCCTCATGGAGGGGGTTAACTGGAAGTAATCTGACGTGTCTGTGTTGCCTGTGCTCTGATTTCGCTCATTTAAAACTGTATTTTCATTCAGTTGCGAGACAATTTTCTGGAGGTCGCATATCCCAAATTAATTTTAATCATACATATTTATTTTCTAATAATGCAAATATTTAATAATTTGTGTATATATATAGTTTTAGTCAGTTTTACCTTTTAAATTCTATACTTAAAATACCGTTTATGTAATGTAAAAATCGTTTTAAATTCTTACTGTAAAAATTGTATGGCTTTCTTGTGCTGTAGCAACTTGCCGTAACACTTATAGAAATACGAAAGGAAGAGATATTGTATTTCATGCTTTCCTAAAGGACAATTTGCTTTTGTCAAAAGAATGGATACATAAATGTCGAAGACAGGATTATATTAATGTGAAAAACACAATAATTTGCGGCGAACATTTTCTGTGCAGTGATTATAAAGATGAAAAATTGCTTGCTTGGTTTGCCGCAAAAGAAACAGTTGAAATGCAATACTGTGCCTAAAGTAAATTTATCGTGTGCAGTAAACGAAATAACACCAAGAAATCGGAGACATTTGAAAAGAAAACTAACGCAGAGTCCTTTTGAAAGACTACACGAATTAATAAGCCCAAAGAAAGTTTGTTTTGAGACCGAGAACGAAATTGAAGCTGACAATAATAAATCAAATGTGAATGAATTTGAAATGAAACTTACAAGTCACAATATCCTTGAATGACCTAAGATAAACAAGAATGTATTGATAATTTGAAGAACAAAACAATATCCTTAGAAAATCGTAATAAAATATTGAAAAATAGAGAAAAGAAAAATTTTATAGAATGTTTGCTGAGCGACATAGGTGGACGACATCTAGAAAGAAATTTGTAATGGAAATTCAGAAATTAAAATCTCAAACAGCGAAATTTAGGAAAAAACAGCACAGTTCAGAGAACTTGGAAAAACGTCTAAAGCATATTTTTACAGACTCGGATTAATGCATTGCTAGAAAAGAAGGGAAAATTCAAGTGGACTAGTGAAGATATTTCACGTTGTATTGTCATAAGAGCTCTGTAGAGTATGTTTCGTAAATAGAAATGCATATGTTTTTACCCAAAGAGAAGCAACCCAAAAGGCAAAAAAGTGGATTGCTTTGAATGTGGTAACCAATGAATAATATTTCAACAACTTGTAATTGCATTGTGACTGAACAAGTAAGCATATATAATATGTTTTGATTTGAAATATTTCTAGATGACATTTTAGAAGTTAATAGCATAAAGCATATTTCAAATGAGAACTAATTTTGTGAAGTTATTTTTATTGTATCCTGTGTTATTATTGATTTGCTTTTGTGCTAGCTTAGCATTCTAAATAAAATATAATAGTATAACATTAAAGTAATTGGCATAAGAAAAACCTGCTTCCTTAACCCCCACTTTTGAAAAATTAAATAATTTTTTTAGGTACTGTGAGTAAAGTTGTTTAGTCTGAATTAAGATAGCAATCTTACATGCATTTACTTAAATGTAATATTGATGTAAACCTAAGTTACAAAATTATTTAAAAATATGTATATTATATTGAATCGGGAGAAAAATATTCCAATGTAAAATTTACAATTAGGCTGAAACTCAAATTAGCAGACATTTTTAAAAGTATGCCAATTTAAGGTTGTTTTTTGATTAATTTTAAATAGCTGTTATTATAGTTATCTTAGAAGCAGTAGTACAGTTTTCTTATGGTTCTTCAGATTTAAAATGTTAATTTTTATGTTGTCAATTGCATCTCTGCGCTCAGTGTCATCATGGGTACGTGATCACTCGACACTGCCTGTTTGAGGGGAAAAAGCTCTATGAGCTAGCCCTTCTCTTTTAAGTCCTGGTTATATGAACCAAAAAAAAAAGTGATTTTAGACGTCTGAAAGCAATTAAATTTTCTCTAGATTATATCTAAAACAAAACCTTGGAATTAGATGAGAACTTTTGCTTTTTGTGAGTGAGAGCATATACATATCCAGAAACGTCGTTCTCCAGTTCTCCAAGGGGCATCAAGCTCTACTGTATGTCATCTAGCATATATTAGCCAATGAGCACAAAGCAAGCTCAAGGCTGTTATTTGGATGTTCTTTAGTTATTTCGTTCATCTCGTCCTGAGTTTTGTGAGTACATGTGCCTTCAGGAAATAGTTTTAAAAATTATCTTTTCTTATGTCTGCGAGAAAGGTGAAATATTCATGTACGTTTCAAAAATCGTACACAGTTGACTTTCCTTCCATTATTTCCTCAAGGAAATGTAATAAATTTGCGATGCATACCGTCTGTCGTTGCGATTTTTCGATTTCGCATGGTGGAAGGACGGATGTTCTCAAACATGTGCGTACACAAAAACACGAGGACAACATAAGTTGTTTGAAAAAAAATGAAAAATTTAATTTTTCATCGGAAACAAAGGACTAAAAAGTTATTAATGTAGAATATCTGTTCTCTGCTTTCTTACTGTAGCACAATCTGCTACTGAATGCATCGGATCACGTTGCAGCTTTATTTAGAAAAATGTTTCCCAATAGTGAAATCGCTAAGAAATACTCAAGTGCAAGGACCAAAACAGGTGCAATTGTTAAAAAAATGGGTTTGAAAAATCTTCAGTTATTGATTGCATTATAAGCTTCGTTCTGTCTCTCTACGGATGGAAGTAATGTACCGATTTAAAACTGTATCCAATTGTTTCTTTTTTAATACATAGTCTTCAGAAATTGAGTGCAGTTTACTTTCTATCCCCACTTTAGAAGGACATTTGACAGGCTTTAATATAGCACAGCTAATTATTAAAACTTTAAAAGAAAATTCAGAAAATTTTTAAAAGAAAAAAAGTCCCTCTGGATAATTGCTTAGCACTTGGTGCCGATAATGCACCAGTAATGGTAGGCTTGAAGACTGGTGTTGCAGGCATCTGAAGAAAAGAAAATGCAGATTTGCAGATTATAAGGTGTACCTGTCATCTCTTAAATTTAGCAGCTGAAAAAGGGGCAGCTTCTTTACCAATAAATGTGGATGAACACATTGTTGATATTTATTATTATCTTGAAAGGAGTTATAAAAGGGAGGAAAAATTGAAACAGTTCCAACAGCTGCATAATACTGAAATGAGAAAATTTTTTAAACATGTGTACACGCTGGCTGTCTTTAAAGAAATGCTTATCTAGAATCCTCGATCAATGGAACCCACTTCTTTCATTTTTTAAAGAAGTAAATGCTTCGAGAGTTAAGATAAAAGGCTCTATTGAAAGTTATAAAATACCTTAAGTAAATGGAGATGTAGTTACTACTTCCATTGTTAAAAAGAGGTTTGAGAAAAATAAAGTAATTTCTGCACCATTCAGCAATTCAACTGGCAGTTTTAAAAATAATATTACAAAATATAAGCATAAAGCTAATACAAATTTCTCTCAATAAAAAATTGCTCAACACACATTTCCCGATTACTGTAAGTTTATCTTGTGAAGAACGAATATTTGTTATTTTTTCTTCTGACCTTAACAAAGCTTTTTGCTTTTTTTTTTTTTTTTTTACAATTCATTTTGCCATCATTCGACGTTCTTAACACAGTTCTACAAAGCAGAATTCCATTAATTCATGTTTTGCAATCGATGATTTATGATCTGTTTAAAGACATTTTATCAAAGTTTGTAAAACCAGTCTGTATTTTGTCTTGCAATTCTATATATGATGTGATTTATGCTGAAATAGAAAATCGGAAGATGAAGTTTTGGTAATAGGAGCTGCAACTACAAAAATAGTGAACTGAATGAAGTTATAAAATCAGCTAGGATTGAAACTCAGTGGCGTTTAATTGGAAAACTGAAAGGTGCTGATGGAATTTTAAAATATAGTAAACTGTCTAGAATTATGTTGGCCATCTTGACAGTTCCCCATAATAATGCAGAGTGTGAGAGGATTTTCGGTGTTGTTGCGAAAATGAGGACTAAATTTAGATCTAATATTAGTGATGACGCATTAGAAAAAACTTTTATTAGCGAAAGCAGGCCTACGTGGCAATTGCTATGAACAAAATTATGAAGTTTCCTTTTTAACGAAAGCAGTCTGCCACTATTCATAACATTTAAAAAAAAACTGATTAAAGTCTTTTTTTGGGGGGGGTGTTGTTTTTTGTTTATGTTTAAATGATGCAAGTAATAAAATGTTTTTTTATGTGTAAGGTATTTTTGTGTTGCTTGCATTTAAGAATTAGTAACTATTTAAAAACTGTATTTTTATCATTTAAAGTCTTTTTAACATTGTGAAAAATCTCTTGATTTTTGAGTGTCATAGGTTGGCAATTATGCTTGCATTTAGATTAATTTGTTTTTGATTTTTTTCTAGATGAGAAGGAGATATGCTGTGCATTAGAATAAACATATTTCTTAAAAGTTATTATATTTGAGACAGATGTGTGTAGTATACTTCAGTTTGTGCAATACTAGTGAAGTGTTCGTTGTTCTAGCTAATAAAATATGCAAATGTAATTTCTTTAAAAAACCAATCTGTATTTAATTTTAGAGCTTGCTTTGCTAAAACTTTTTATTTAGCTGTCTGTTTAGACACAAGAAAATTTTTGCTTAAAACATTTTGCATTTTGTGTTGCAGAAATAAAAATAGCATAAATTATCTGTTATTTGCCAAAATAAATTATGATAATGAAACTATCTTGTCACTTCTATTACAGTATTTCTTTTTGCGGGAGAATTATAAGAGCAATTTTTAGTTCCAGTTAGATAGTTTGAGATATAGAGTGCTGTTTTGAACTGTGTTTAAAGCTAAAGTATTAATTTTTAAGTGTTTGTTTTCATGAGTCTTCATTCAGAAGAAAGCTTTTTGGTCATAAAGCTTTGTGGCTTAAGGTTTAAGTCATAAACTCTGCTCACACCTGTGTAGCAAGGTTAACCACTCAAAGAAGGTAAAAGTTATGAATGCATAAGTGCGCTGCTGAACCCACAATAGAATGCCAAGTCTTGTTTGCTTCATTGTGACTGATTGGTTCTTATACCAAGTTGACATTAAGTTGAAAAGTTACAAAATTTTGGCAAAATCCTTAAACCAGTTTTTGTGATGTGTTTGTGATTTCCTTAGAAACAAAGCTCAGCATATATACCTGTTATGACTGAAAAGCCTGTAAGTTGAGATAGAATTTTTCCCCTCCTAATTACGTTACTAGATGTGTTGTAACTTTTAAGTTAATAAATTATTAGTGTAATGGGCCTGATTGAACATTATATTTGCTTCTAAAAATTATGGATTAACTCGTTTTAGGCTTCAAAACAAACCCCTGCTGATTCTGAACCATCTCCTGCAAGTCCGACTTCTTCCGAAAAGGGTGAAGGTGAATCTTCTTCGCAGCAAGATGAATTAATGGAGAAGGATCAGAAAAAGAAGAAAAATAGATGTCACATATGCAAAAAGAAAGTAGGGTTAACTGGTAAGTATTATTTGGTATCAAAAACTTTTTTGCATCCATGGTAAAATTGCATTATTTTTCTTAATTATTCTAGATTTTTTACAACTATAATATAATAATTAAAAATTCTACCCGATGATAATGTCTTGTTTGCTGCTGTGTATTTGTTGCCTGACCATAAATAGCAAAAACCTGGTTGGTTTTCTGTCAAAACATTTAGATCCATCCAGCAAGGCTATTAGTCGATAAAACGCTGATCTGAGGGCTAATGTGGGAATACATAGGTTATTAAAACAAACTGTATTCAAATTATATGTAAATGCTAGTCCTTTCTTATTTTTTATCCACAAACACCCATGTACTAGATATCTTGAGCTGTTTGCTCTCATTATCCAAGTTTTTTTGTTCGTACCAGACTTAAAATTTCTAGTAACTGAATTGAAGATTATATTTTTTAAAGTGGGGAGAATTCTCAAAATGATTTCCCCCTCCCAGGTATGTCATACCCACTTTTTTGGGGGGGGGGAATCAGTATCATGCATCATCTTATCTAACATGATCATATGCAAATGTTACAGAATCTTTTTAGAAAATGTTTCGAGTAATGCAGAGGCCTTTATTGAAGTAAATGAAGTTTGGTATAAAGAATTTTAGTCATCACAATTCTACAGAAAATGATACAGGTGCTGAAACAGAAGATGAACTCTTAAGTCTTGCAGAATGAATATTTTATTTGTGAAGACAAAATTACTAAATGTGTTAAAAAAAAAAATAAAGGCACTTAAAACACAGAGATTGAATTATTTAGAAGAATGTAGGGAAAAACAAAACCAAACAAAGCATACAAGAAGGGAAAACAAATATAATTTTACTGTTTGTTAATGAACCACTTGGTATAAAATAGGAAAAATCTTATAAAAGATGTACATTATGTCCTAGTAAAAAACATGATTTATTTGTCAGGAATGTTAAATTTTTATGGAACACCAATATGCTATTTGTAAACGTTGTATCAGCTAAATGTAAATTTATAATTATAAAATAAAGTTATTTTATTTTCTGTTTTATTTATTACATTTGAGAGAAATAGTCTCTGGTTTGAGAAACTCAGTCGTAGTTCCCATGCTGGGTATTTACAGGGTTGTACGGTTCTTAAAAGTCCTTTTTTGGGGGGGGGTGTCAGTCATTAGAAGTCCTTAATTTTAATTGTCTGAAATTTCTGTCTGTTTTTACAACTGGCATTTTGAATGTGAATTAGCATTTTGGATAAATATTTTTGGTGATTGATTGACAAATATATTTATTTTTGAATGGGTGAATAGGTTGATGGATTGTAATTTTTTCCTATTTCTAATATAAAGGGTGTGATACTCAAGTTTCTAAGAAGTGAAACATAATCATTTCGAAATTATTTCATTTTTTTTCTAATGAAGAGCTCTTAAAGAACTTTTTGCTTTTGGGGATCTTTAGTTTTGGCTTTTTGGAACCTTAAAATACAGGGTGTTTATAAAGTCCCGGACCTATTTTGATGTTAAATAACTCATAAAATAATAGAGATAAATTAAAATTAATAACATAAATGGTTAGATAGACTCAAAAAGTTTCATGGCCCTTCTTGTCAATGAACTTGTGTGTGCCCCCTTTGTAGCACGGAGAATATCAAGTCAATATTCAATATCACGCCAGGTACTGGCAAGCATGTCGGCATCCACAGAGGCTATTGCGGTTGTAATTCTGGCTTTTAGGTCATCAATGTTCGACACTCTCCTCCTGTAAACGTTGTCCTTTACAAATCCCCAAAGAAAAAAAGTCCAGCGGCATTATATCAGGTGATCTGAGTGGCCAAGAAATTGGACCTCCCCGCCCAATCCATCATCCTTTAAAATGGTCATTCAAAGAACTACAAATGATAATACCCCAATGAGGTGGTGCACCATCTTGTTGCAAAAAGACATGTGGCTGAAGCTCTTCTAGTTGTGGAAATGCGAAGTTTTCCAACATGTTTAAGCATACAGCTGATGAGACTGTCTTTTCTGTAAAAAAGAAAGACCCAATGACTGGGTCATGCATTAGTCCACACCACATAAACCTTTGGGGAATCCCTTTGTGCCTCATGGTATTAATAGGGGTTTTTAGATCCACATATTCGCACATCATGGCGATTAACAATGCCAGAAAGATGAAAGGATACTTCGTTGGAGAACATTATGCGCTTCAGAAATTCAGCATCATCTTCTATCCTCCTTAGCATATCTGTTGCAAAGGCCATCTTCCTAGACCAGTTAACAATTTGAACTTTGTATGCATGCAGTCTTAATTTTTTCTTAATAACCTTGTACACCGTCGAAATTGGCATATCCAATTCTCTTGCCGCTGATTTTGCAGAATTGTGTAAAAATGTCTATCTGACATGCTCAACATGAAAATCGTTTGTACAGGGATGTCGGGAACGTTACTTCCAGTTTCTAGAAAATTCTTTTTCCACCACAAGATGCTGCTTTTGGATGGAGGAAATTTTAAATTCTTCTGCAATTTCTCTGTGTTTGCATTATGGATTTCGTTTCTATGAAACACCATAAAATCTGTGCTTTCTCTTGTGGTGTATGCATTCTCCTTAATAACCGGTCAAATAAAATATCACATATAAGAGTATTAGAGTACACATACAAAAGTAAATATAACATTGCAATAGTTGCCAAAAACAAAAGAGAAAAATGAAATTAATAAGCAGACGATATTTAGAAAAGTACAGATATTTAGGCTGGAAAATGAAATTATCTGAAATTAACCATACACGCAGACGATATTTACATAAGTAAAGATATTCAAACCTGAAAAGGAAAATGTATAAGTTATTCCATCAATAAATACCATAAGTTTGTTTGTATCTTCTTTATTTTATGAGGTACTATTCGATTTCGAGGGCCGTAAAAAAATTGCATCGGAAATGTACGCGCAAAAGCGCCAAATCTAGCAAACGTGCCCATTTAACAGCGCGCCAAATCTAGCATACGAGCTGATTTCAGATTGTGTAAGTTAATATAGTTTTATATGTCTTAAGACGCCATTGAAATACTAGTTTAATTTTTAAATCCTTTTTGGAAATTCTATGGATTTAACAATTTGGGAATTGCCTATGACGAAAACTCGGCAATAGAATTTTGAGTAAAGTGCAGAATCACCCACTGCTTGATGCGTTTTTAAGAATTGCACATACTCTGTGTCCATGTGCACATCGACCTATTTTCACTTTAAAAAAAAAAATCCTAGAATTGCACAAAAATGGCACTGCGCACCATACTCTTGACTTTATCTATGTACACATCGACCAATTTTCACTTAAAAAGTAAAAGAAAATTGACAAAAATCCAATTGTTTTTACCCTTGTAAAAAGCGGCAAACAAATAAGTGAGCGATTCTGCACTTTACCGAGAATATTTTCAAAGAAAAGGCATCATTCATTATAGAAAATTACGTTTGAACAACCGAGGTGAAATTATGCTTTAGCGATAAGTCGGTAGCAAAACAGCGATGCAGGCATCCATTCAGTTATGTTTAGCAATTTTTATATAAATTATAATAATGATCTGAAATAGTTACTTACTCTTATGCTTCCATTCAGTCATGTTTAGCCTTTTTCATATAAATTATAATAGAAATAATATGAAATTAACCTTTCATCTAAATTAAAACATCAATCTTAAGTAGTTATTTACTATTATACTTCCTTTCTTGCCACAATTATTTTTGGCAGTATTGGCATCAACAATAATTTGGCAATTTTTTACAGCCCTCGAAACCGAATAATACCTTTCATGAGTTATTAAACATCAAAATGGGTCCATCAAAACTTCCCGTCCATCAGGCTTTCAGGTTTGTTCTGATCAGCAAATCTCTAATAGCAGCAGTAAGCAACAGCCAATCTTCGGTAACAAATCATGCTGATTGTGATTTTGACATAAAATCTACCTGCTATTTACTAAACCTCTAAACTTAGCAAGTATGTGACAAAATAAGACATAAAAGAAAAAAAAAAGTTATTAATCTTCCAAATATGTGCAACAATTATAAATGTAAAATATTTAATGCTACCTTATAAATTTTAAAGTTGATTTTATTCTCAAATTTGTTTTATAATTATGTAATTTATTAAGTTATGTTTTTGTAATAATGCATTGTACTTGTGGACCTATTTTATTCTTAGGAGGGTATCACAAAAGTGAAGTTCAGGCATAGTTCAGTTCTCATTTGTTGATGGGTCCTTAATTTTTTCATCCATGGTCCTTAAAAAGTACTTAATTTTGATGGGCAAAAATGTGTACAAACCCTGTGTGTGCAAGTGCTGTATTTAATGTACAATTATCAGAAATTATCATGTACTAAGAAAGGGTATGGGCAAGAAATCGAGAGTAATACGTTCAATGATATGAACATTTCAGATATCATTGTCAAACTAGTAACACTTAGGGATTAAATGCATGTAGATAAATTTAAGTCATATGAAATTTAATCAGCAAACACAAATAGGATGTCAAATTGGTCTTTCCCTCCCTAATTTCAAAAGTAAAAATATTTTAGGATTACCGATTGTTTTCTAATTTCAAAAGTAAAAATATTTTAGGATTACCGATTGTTTTAAGGTGCTTAAAACAAAATGTATACTATTTAAATAAAAAAAAAATAATATAATTCAAGGACTTCTGTACCTGACAGATAGATGAATTTTTTGCCATATCTCTGTATTTAACAGAACTGCAAACTGATAAAAAAGAGAGTCCTGGCTCCACTAGTTCAAAAATTCCTGAATGGTCCTAACCATAAAATAAACGCACCTATAAAAGGTTGCTAAGTGAACAGAAATTATATGACAAAGAAAAACATCAATAAGTAATTATTCATGCATTTCAAGATGGCAAAAAGGTTTATACTGCAGAGTTGTAAAGCTTTATAACAAGCCTAATTGTTATATCTGATAAACGTAAAATTAATTCTACTCAGGAAATTTATCAAAAATTTTAATTAAGTATTATAAAATATTTTTAATGCAGGTGAAATAGCAGAATGAACAGATATGTAAAATAAGTATATATTTCATAAATGTGATTTTGTCTGCTGTTTTAATTAAAGCTTTGCAAGTCCATGTCTAACTTATTTATTTTTCTATGAAAACTTTATAATGGTGTGTGTTATTTTTTCTCTAGGATTTCCATGTCGATGCAATGGTTTGTTCTGCAGCGTTCATAGATATTCAAATGAGCACAATTGTACATTTGATTACAAACAGCTTGGTGCTCAAGAAATCCGAAAAAACAATCCTTTAGTGGTTGGAGAGAAAGTAAAGAAGATCTGAGTAAAGTATATACCTATACAGCAACACCTGACGTCAAATGACATTTAATATTGTGACACTGGGAGCTTCACAATAAAACAATGTTTCGAATTGAAGCTTTTGGTGTTCATGGAATCATTTCCCCCCTGCATTGTAGGTCTGTTTAGTCGTGTTCAATTTTCAGTATATGGCTTTCTTGTTTTTACTTTCTCTTGAGATTTATATTTTAGAAAAGTAACATTAATATGTTTTTAAAAGTATACATGTTATTCTAATTTAATCAGTTTAATTTTGTTCCTATAATGCTGCTTTCTGTATTAAAATGTTTTAAATTCTTATTTGGAGTATTCTATTTGCAAATACTATCAGAAGAAAAAGATATTGCTTTTCCTTTTATGTTTTGTAAACTGATGTATACATAATATCTATAAAACATTTTAGTAATTATCACTATTTGAGAGTGTAACATTTTATTACATCAATCTAAAAAGATAGAAAATAATCAGTCTTCGTGCCTGTTTTCTCTGCTTGTACCATTGTGAATGTTACTTTGCTTTGCTGACAGTTGACATATTTTTTCTGATATTTGTATTTATAATGCCTGGAATTTAAAGAATGTGGCAACAGTTTCTAGTTTTTGTTTAAATAGCTTATTTCATATATATTTTTGTTCGAGTATAGTAGATTATTGTGCTACGCTATGAGTATATTCTTTGTGCTAGCATTTATAATAAGGACTGTAGTTACAGACATGAAGTATATATACTGATATATTTGTTATTCCTGCTACATTTGTAGTATATTGGAGACCTGCAATAAGTCCATCCTTTGAAAGAAGGGAAACAAAATTTAGTGAGGGAACTTTTTACTGATTCTGATTTTCCATACCCAAACTTAAACCTTGCATGCCCTTTTTTTTTTTTAAAGGAAACTATCTTTAATGTGTCTTTAACAAGGCATTTTTCCAAATTTCGCTATGGATTGTGAGAACTTTGTAATGTCTATACACAAAGACCGGGAATCAACCCCGTAGATAGGAATATTTGTGCACAAGTATAAGTATTTGTAGCAAAGCACAATACATGAGTTGGGTTTCCTGTTTTGACTTATCACAAGGTCATGTGATCTTATGCATCATCTCTAGCTGTCCATTTTTACAATAAATTAATGGTGCATTATTTCTCTGAATGATTTGTAAAAACTTTTATGTAGGTGAATAATAAAGTGTTACAGTGATTGGTGAATGGTGGTGGATTTTATGTGTGCTTTCTACATACATTTCATTTTTCACCAACATTCTCCTTATATATATGTCGATAGGCTAATATGGGGTATTGCAACGTAAATTGTACAGTGTGAATTCTTGAACACTTTCTTTTTAAAATTTTGAAGTAACATTTGTGTTTCAAACAAAATATAAATAAAACAACTAAAATTTATGCTGTTAAATAATATAATCATATAAATTACTATATGTATGCGTATATCATTAAACAAGTTTGTCTTTTGCCGCTTTTGATTTTAGTAGAGATTCATTATTGCATAAGAACTAAGGACAATATGTAGCCAAGTCTTTGCTTTGTACTGCTGATTGTTTGTAAATAAAGTCTTCGTATGTTGTATATTTTTTAAATTTCACTATAAAATGTATCAGAGCTAAGTGCGCAAATTTACAGATTAATCTGTGTGTAGCTGTGTATATTCCTGCTATATATTATGATTTAGATTTCAAGTGCTTTTTCCTATATTAAAAAATATTTCAGATATTTGTTTAATTTTCTGTGAAAGCTTTTGCACATACAAAACTAATGTTATGGCTTTAATATTGAAATTCTAATCAACAGTGATTTTAAAATTTCATGTAATTTTCATTGGAGTAACTTGTATTTTAATAAAAGTATCAGGTAGTATAATTTAGATTGTATGAGCAATTGCCTTTTTAGCATTAAAGGAAACAGTGTAAAGTGCAAGTGTTTACAGAGTATCTTTAATGATTTAATGTAGTGAAGGTTTTGCTATCATAAAATAAATTTTTAAGTCAGATCATTCAGTTCCATTTTTTAAGAAACTTCATATTATGAATGTTGACTTATTAAATTAGAAATAGTACATGTTTATTCAAAATGCTGAATATGGTAATTTTATTGGGGAATGCTATATTATCAGGATTTATTTAAGTATAGGATGGGCAGAAAGTAACTCCCTATTTTGCATTTGGAATACCTATTGATGTTATGTGTAGATTGCAATGAAAGTTACCTTGTTTTGTGGAATAGTATGGCATCATTTGTAATATTTTTTCTCCCCCCCCTTTTCAGAGAATGTCTAATTTACATAATTGTCTTTGCATCCAAAACAGCTTGTTTCCCATGCTCACTCCTCTGCCACCATCGAACCTTTGTTACAGATTGCCACACCTCATACTTTGCTGCAATTTTTACTCTGTCTTGAACCCTTAATCATTGTGGTTAGTTTCAGAACCTCTCATTCAAGAGCTCTGAAAAATATATTAGACATATGAAAAGGGAAAAAATACAGGGTGTCTGAAAAGTCTTTCCCTGATTATATAAATTGATAACTCAGGCTAGAAGTAAGATACAAATATGAAACTGGTGTCTAATTGTTTACAAACTGTCAAAGTTTTTTTCACACATCAGTAAACTTCCACATGAGCACCCTTGGTAGCACATAGCACATCTAGGCGATATTCAATTTCCGTCCACACATTAGCCAACATCACTGGAGGGATCGATTCAACGACTGTGGTAATCCGTTGCCGCAGGGTTTCAAGATCTGGTACACGTGTTCGGTAGACCTCGTCCTTGACATAACACCATAAAAAGAAGTCTAATGGGTTATGTCAGGAGAGCATGAAAGTCAAACGTTGGTCCATCACGACCAATCAATCGTCCAGGAAAGGTCATATCGAGATGGGCACGGATGTCCAAACCCCAGTGAGGCGGTGCACCGTCTTCCTGAAACAAGACATCGGGGTGATACTGAAGCAGCTGAGGAACAGCATACAGTTGCAACATGTCCAGATACACTGCAGATATGATGCAAAGAAGAATGGCCCGATAATTCAATCGTGCAATAGCGCACACCAAACATTCACCTTTGGATTGCCTCTGGTTCACTCCATGACCTCGCCAGGGGATTGTGAATGCATACATTATGCATACATTATGGCGATTCACTACTCCACTGACAAAAAAAGGTCGCTTTGTCGGAAAAGGCAATTCGTCTGAGATAACCATCATCGTCCTCAATACGTGATAGCATTTCGACCGCAAAGTCATATCGACATGTACTGTCATGGGGCAGCAAGGCCTGAACACTTTGCACTTTTGTATGCACAAAACAATAAACGTTTGTGTAAAATGTCATGGAGAGAGCTTTTTGGTATCTGTAATTCATGTGAGGCCCTGCGCACCGATTTCGTCGAACTTCGAAGAAAAGACTGCCTCGCAGCTTCCACCCTGTCTGCTGAGGTTCTTGGTCGACCAGACCTCGGAAGGTCAGCAACCGATCCTGTGTTCTTGAACTTCTCATACCAGGCTTTAATGCTCTTGACATCGGGTGGATTCCTTCCAAATGTTGTCCGGAAGTGTCTCTGCACTGTGGTTGATGATCGTGTCTCATGGTACTACAGGACACACTGTGCCTTCTCCTGATTGGTTAACATGTCTTCTTGGGCACTGCACCTCATCCACTACTTGCGTAATGTGAACCTAAAACAGAAAAAAAAAAAAATTTTTGATAGTTTGTAAACAATTCGACACAAGTTTCATATTTGTATCTTACTTCTAGCCTGAGTTATCAATTTATGTAATCAGGGAAAGACTTTTCGGACACCCTGTATTACAAATAATACCGGAATAGTCTACAAAACAGTTGAAACTTTCATTGCAATCGACACATTAATAGCTATTCAAAATGCGTAGTTACTTTCCGTCCACCCTTATATTCTATACTTATTGGAGGAAAAAACTTCTGGTTTTGTGTGTATTAACCAGTGCATCGCCGAAAATATCACTCCCAATTTATTTTGCAAGCATTCGGAAATTATATGGAATTGCAGAAATATTTGGTCCTGCCGAACCTACATTTTCTTCTCTTGTTTTTCATTTAGTAGATCCAGGTGGGGCTGATATCAATTGAGACGAATTATACTTGTATTTTGGGAGGGGGTATTTCCTTTTTTCAGCAGTCTTTGTGCAATTTGAACTTAAGAAAGTTTTATGTATTTGTAAAGAGGAAACTGATTAAATATGACCATTGCAAATTGGCAGTTCATATAATATGTGCACAGCATAGTTTATTTTGTTTAATACAAGCTTATATATAATTTATTTAACTCCTTTCAGTCTTGGAATTTTTTAGATGTGCCAAAAAAACTAAAATATTGTTTGTATGTGTTAGAACTAACTACCTTGTAACATGTTAAAAAAGTTTCTACTAAAGTTGTTCCTCCCATTAAATTATCCCATAACCAATGTTCAAAAGCAAATATCCACAGGACAAGTGAGAAAATGCATGCAGACAAGGCACCAGATGAGACTTCTGGCTGTGAATAGTAAAACGGTCTCTACTGCTAACCAAAAAATAGACCTCTGCGTGTGAAGGTGGCAAAAGCCACCAGGAGGACCAAAAGCATTAAAGTAATGTGTATAAACTTATTAAAATTTTGTTTTCAGCAGACATTTTCTGATGACTGTTATTCAGTTGTTGTAATTGTGTGATGCAGGTTATATCAGAGCAGTACCTGGTATAAAATCTGCTTAGTGCAGCTCTTGGTGCATTGTACCGCAAGTTTTTTGTTTTCCCAATAACCGTAGTTCTTTTTTTGATTATAGCATCTTTATCCATTGAGATTTTATTGAAAATAGTAAGCATATAAAATACTTAGCAATGAAACACTTATATATATATATTTTTTTTAATTTGCTGTCTGAAGAAATGTAAACTGTTCACATTCGTAAACTAACAACCATTTGTTTCTTGCCAAGATGGAAGTGCAGATGCTAATTATTTTATAATTGAAGATTGCAAATTTTACTCTTTTGTCTAGCCAAGTTAAAAACACATCAGTTCCTTTTTCTCACCACGGCTGGTGCAAAATGGAAGTATTCATTTTTTCACCTTCTGTTTTATAGCTGGCTCCAGTTCTTGTTCTGTGAAATTTTACACTGCAAAAGTTGTTTGAGAGTATACTTTATTTATTGCAAAAGGCAGAGAATAACAATTTGAAATCCTATTCTATTAATTTACTTGTATAAAAAATATATTTCATCACAAAGAAGATTACTGGCCAAGTACCAAACTTCTATCGTGATAATTTGAAAATACAATTATCGCAGAATTGTAGATGCATAAAAGGTATATCTGCATTTTTATAGCCAAGCATTTGGTGTGATCCACTGTAAAAGTTTGTGTTCTGACTGAGGAAACTTGCAAGTGGAATGCTTTTGTTGTCAAATGGTTATCCAGCACTTCTTCAGTAGTGCTGTGACATTTTTTCAGTTCTTTGCTTGGTGCATCCTTTAGTTAAAAAGATTGTCTCAAAGTGCCATGTTACATGACATTAAGAACACTTCTTATTTGTCCATAAAGTAGTCACTGTTATTAGCACATTATAGTACAAATTAGGTATTTTAAATTATTGAATATTTATTCCTGAAAGATTTAAGTGATCAAAATGCACTTAAATTGCTAAGTTTGTTATTCATAATTTGATATTTAAAGATCATATTTTGCCACTCTGGACAAAAGATTTCTTACATGAAAATGTGCATCCCCCCAAAGAACAAAAAATTGTTTTAAAGTTATTTCTGATATCAAATTATACATCTTCAGAAATGAAAAAGGTTTGAAGTAAGTGATGTTCCTGTACTTATCATTGTTTAGTGAAAGTTCTAATTTTACATATTTCCTATTGGGAGAGAGTAAAGATGTTAAAATATGTACCTTTATTTGCTTTTTTAGTCAAATGTGATAGAACACATTATGTCCCAAAGAAAAATAGCCGGCTTTTGAATTCAGATTCTTTTATCTAATGTTAATTACTAATTAATTTAGAACTGTTTTGGCTTTGAAATTTGGTGATTACAAATTTATTGGAATTTTTTTTAATGGTAATGTAATTGCAGTATTAAATTTAATTTGGGAAAGTTTACTAGAAATTTCTCCTTTTACTCTCATTTGAAAGATTTTCAAATAGCGTAATGCATTCTCTAATTTATGTTATGTATGAGACAAAAAATAAAGAATTATACCTCTTTTTATTCTTTTATAGCAAATTTCTGTATCTATTGCCTTGTGATATTCCAGGTACATTTTATAACCGATTGGGTAAAATCTCGATGAATCCAGCATTCCACAGTATATTAATATTTTAAAGATCGCCTCTGGTTGGATGCATACAAAACATTGTAGTTTGAATATTAAGGAACTGTCTGATTACACAGACATAGCTGGTTTTCTTGATATTTTATATGAATGCAAATTGGTTTCACTTAGAAAAGTCGGCAGGAAAATTTTCTTTCCCTTAAGCAGATAACCTTTGTTGCTTTGCCATGTTAAAATCATATTCTTTCAGTTTAGCTAACATGGAGGAAATATGAAGTCAATTTGAGTTTGTGAATATTCAGAATGAATGTTTTAAATTCAATCTTTTATTGTATATAAAGCTTAGCCTAATGTTCTGCATTTTTGAAATGGTAAAAACTTCTGAGAAACATTTTATTTGAAGTTATGATAGATAAAGTATTGTGTGCTTAATATGGAAGTTACTTTACATAAGTTTTGGGTTGCTAAAGCTTTACTCAACCCCTTAATTGTCTGAAACTCGAGTTTATGTATTAAAAATAAAATTATTGTATTTTGATCCATGTTGCGTTCCATCATTATTTATACCTGCCCAGTCTGGGATATTTTCTTTATAGTAGTGTCATACAGAAAACAAGTTCAAAATATGACTAAGACAGATGGCTACCCCTGGTTTATTAAGATGGACACAATTCATTGAGAACTCAATATTGAAAAAA